CCTTGTGTGCCACTTTTTTGTTCTTACCACATTTTGACGTCATCTGTGATCTATTACTGAACAGACGCACGGCAACATGGAATCTATTTGTTAAATACACATGTACTGAACATTAACATAAGAGTAAATAAGGATAAATACTTAATTGGCCACCCCCCATTGGGGCTTTTCAGGACCAATGTAAACAAACAATGATAAATAAATATTCAAGAATCCCAACTGGTTGGAGGCAGACCAGTTGGCTATTTACAAGCATAGCCAAGAAGTTCAACTCAGGGCTACCAAGAACAACATCAGCTAGTGGTCAGAACAGGATTTGAACCGGAGACCTACAGATTTCAAATCTGGCGCTCTAAACACTCGGCCATGCTACCTTCACGTACATGTACATGTACATTTCTGGGATGTTTGCTATTAATAACACACTGCATACAGTATTTTAGAGTAGTATTGACTTACTGTTACAATACTTTGTAGGCTCTTTCCCTGTAAAATAAAACAAACAAAAAATTTGATTACTGCTAGAGCACTATTTACATTTACTGATCAACAGCACTTTACAGCTTATATATTAACTAAATAGAATATTTATAATTGTAATGATAATAAACTTAATTAGTAATACCAGTACGAGTGAATATCAAGCAGGATATGCCTTAAAAGTGACACGAAACAAATAAGTTTTCAGCTTAACACGTAATTCAGCCAGCAAACTATCCCATAAATATGGAACAGCAGCAGAGAAAGATCTATCACCTAAAGTGACAAGCATTTGCCCTTTAGGAGGGTCTAACAATAAACTTTGATTTGATCTAAGATCATATATAGATCCAGGCATAATGTTAATTAATTCTATGATATACTTGGGTGCCAATCCATGAAAAGCTTTATATGTTTCTTGCATCTATCTGATCAAGCTTATGTCACTCGATGTATAGGTTTATTCCTCCTTTTGTTCGTTCTGGCACCACATGATTCAAATGTAGTTGTTTATGCGCAAGTCTGTTTACTGTTTTGCGTGTTGTAATTGCCATTAGTCAGCTTAGCTCCGGGCTTAGTTCAGGCAAGACCATGGTTTCGATCCTCCATGTGGATCCCATCAGTTGCCAGTATTTCTAAAATAACTACCCATGGACTACCCTAAATGGACCACCCTTAAAATTTGTGGGAAACATAAATTTAACGATGCTAGAACTCAACCAAAAGATGTGATCGATCGACAAACACATTACGTAACACTTGCGATTTAACAGATTTAACGATCCCTAACAAAATCAGATCAGAACGGTTGCAATTTAATCCTAAAACGTTTCCTACCTTAACATCTGGACCTTTGTCACAAACTATTGAATTCGAGCGAGTTTTCCTTTTGTTTAATACCTACATGATAAGACACGACATTCACATAATCGCATACACCCATACACCCATACACCACCATCTTGTATTTCTTCCCCCCTGGCCAAATGAGTGTAGCTAGCAGGCGCAGTAGTCGCTCACGAGTCACTCACGGTCACTCACAATATGAAAAGATGCTAGATGGTAAGTGGAAATTTGGCATATATAATCGCATTCATCTCTGACTTGTGAGCCAATTCTTTA